GCTTCGCGAGATTCGTTGACCGCGCCAAGAAGCTTTTCCCCTTCTATCGGGATGCGGCTATATATCTCCCTGTGGAACGCGGCATGTATCGGGGCTACGTTCATCGGCATTAAGTCATGTTTGGCAGGCATCGTCGGATGCTGAGGGTAGTTGAAGAACGGTAGTTCCACATGATCGGTGCGCGATGACCACCACGCCCTGACCGTTCCCTGAGCTGTACATGGAGCAGCAGGCCGAGCAGCATCCTGCTCGCCTTTCGCGATATGATGCATAACACCGACGCTTGCTGAACGACCGTTGTGTGATCCCGTGTTTTTGGCGAGGGTGATCATCAGGGACAACGATTCTCTCCAAAAGCAAGGTCGCCACTGCCAAGACCATAACATGACTCGGCCTTGGGCTGTCCCCACTGCTCATCTCGAGATCTCCGGAAGACTCATTCGGCAGGGCACCTCACTATGCAATTATCACGGGAACTTACAGTGGGTTTTAAGCAATTACAGCACCCGTTATGTCGGCGTTCCTTGACAATGGTTAGCCACGATCTCACTCAATTTACATTTTGTGGAGACCTACTGACTAGTATCGCATCAACGGCACGATCTATACTGATCAAAATGGCCTGCCATAGTCAATCTACTGCAACTATGATCATAACAGCCCGGCTCCGTACGGTGTACCGCAAGCCACGAGCTTCGAACAATGCATGCAGCTTTGCGATGCTGAGCCTGGATGTGCACTCGCTGAATTGGTACCGAGTGGCAACAACTGTTACCGGAAGACGTACAACTCCAACTACGTCTTCAACCCCAGTACCGTTCCTCAATGGGCCATTCGATTCAATGGGCCAGCAGGAAGTATTGCAAGCTCACGTACTTTGGACGTCGCTGATACTACCTCGAATGGAATTACAAGGATGACTGCACACAGCGCTTTTCCGTCATGAGGCACCTCGACAACAGCTTACACGAAGGTAATGATCACAGCCAGCAACACGGCAACAGTGAGTCAAGAACACGGGGGCTGGCATCATTCGAGAACGGCTAACGAACGATGTACACATCGTGATGCAAACGGTTCCGTGTGTGGATGCAGGATATCTGTGCCCTAGCGATTCAACCACAACCTCGTCCAAAACTAACCTGACTGGAACTGGCAACACTACGACTGCGTACATGCGTAGCGGTTTCGATTCCGGCAACACGATGAACTCGCTGGCCTCCAATCCTCCGGAGAGCTATCTGTACGGGACGCTGCGTGGTCCCACTCCTGAAGTCATGCCGCGCGTTGGCTTTGAACATGCGGTTCACGGCGCCGTATCTTTATCGATCAAGCGTCTATACACGAAAAGCTAACGACTCTGCAGCCAATTCGTCGCCACTATCAGCACTTGCCTTTCCCCCGGCGGAGCAGTTCAAGATCAGGCTTTCTTTCCAGGAGGTGGCAACCAGCTTTACGCCTTAGCAGTGGGTACAGCTGGAGTAACAACGCTGAATGCTTTCAGCACCCGTGCCAAGCCCTTATAGTACCTAGTCAGCATAGGCACGACCGTGCCGCAAACTACCGCGACGAAGAATGGTGCGCCTAGAGAAGGAATTCTGCCCAGACCTTGGATTTCGCGAAGAGCGAGTGCTTGGATTAAGCTTCACGGAGGTTCCCGCCGCAAGGTTCTCTTCATATGATTGCCAAGCTCTCCCCATCCAACTTACCCGAAATCTCTACAAGGACACTGCACAGCGACAGACTTGGTCGCGCCTTTCAACAATCCAAGCTTGGGGTCAGCCGCCGCAACGCACGACAGTCAGGTATGTTAATGGGCGGGACGGGGACATTTGTGATACTGACTTTGACTTCGACATCAGGGATTTTTGCAACCACCGAGCTGTGCGAGCTAATTCTCCTCAATACATCGATTGTCAATCTCCTCGTAGGCGCGCAACGTGTCTGTAAGCATTGGTCCATTGACGGCTCCCGCAAGCTCCAACAAGGTATTCTCCACAAGCCGATCCGCGACTTGCACCGGATCATTCTGCAAGAAATGAGTGCGAATCACACCAATATGGAAAATTGGAATTGGGAGATACCTGGTTGTCCTTTGCTGATGCAAGGAGAATTAGGACTCGATTTCATGTCCTCCTCAATTCACTTGTCAAGCGCTTGCAAGCGGCCAATCGTAATGGCCGAGTCCGGAAGCATCCGCAAGCTTCGTAGGAAGAGATGACGCTGATTGATAGCGAGCCCATGGGAGTCCGGCTCTTTGAAATGATTTCCGATGTCAAACTCGTTGGGGTTAGAGCGGCAGAAGAATTCAACCTTTGGGTCAGAGATTAGCCCATCCAGCGAAGACCAGATCTTCTTGACGAAGATCTGCACAAGTGATCCGTGGATACTCAGATGACAGGAGGTTTGTGTGGATAAGATGATGTAGGCATTTTTTCTAAGGACCGTTCCGTCTCCAAAATCACCACACCAAGTTTTTTCTAAGCACAGCCAAGGACATCAGCGCATTACGCAGTCTATATCTTTGATCCTCCGCCATTACATTCCCCCTCGTTGCCGTGTGCTGCGGGAGCCTGAATGCTTGTCAGCGAAATGTGGCGCCTTTTTACCCATGAATTGAGATGGAGGGACGTACCGAATGAGTTTACCACTCACTGTCGTCCGGTCCACCACTGATCGAATATCCAGAGCCGGAGGCGGAGTTCTTCGACGAGTAGAGATTCTCCTCGTTGGCATAGTCAAAGTTGTAGCCCTTCTCCGTGGGAGTGATGTATTCGTTGTCGAGGTAGTACGGCTGGTAGTTGCGGTCATCCTGAGGGTATCCACAAGACTCGCCATAACACTGAGCAGATGCCTTAGCTTGCACGGCGCGGGCCTTGATCCAGCCACTGCTCTCCTGGCCAGAGGCGTGGCCGGAGCTCGACGACGAGTAGTATGCCTTCGAGTTGGCATAGTTGAAGTTATAGCCGGCCTCGTGTGGTTGCCATTCCTCGCCGCCGAGGTTGTACGAATGGTAGGTGCGGCCAGGCACCGGAGATCCACAAAACGGGTGGCACTGGTCGCCATACCTGAACCCATCAATGATTCCAGTGCTCTCATGGGCGTCGGCGTGGCCGGAGCTCGACGACTTGTAGTATTGGTGCTGGTTGGCATAGTCGAAGTTGTAGCCATGCTGGTTTGGGTACCATTCCTGGCCGTGGAGGTTGTACGAATCGTAGTCGCGGCCAGGCACCTGGAATCCACAAGACGGAAGACACTGAGCACCTGACTTGGCTTGCTCGCCGCGGGCCTAGAGCGTATTGTCAGTCGTTGAGGGCAGTTGCGTGTTTCGACAGCACGTACCTCGATGGGCCCAGCCACGGCAGAGCCGATGGCAAAGGACGCAAGAGCGCTGGCGATGAGCTTGTATTGCATTTTGACGGTTGGGATTTATTTGGAGGTGACTTTGGAGTGTCGGGTGCAACGAGGGATCTTTTGCTGTTGGTGAGGCTGTTGGAAGGCTGTTGAGATGCTGATGAGGATGATGGAAACGGAATGGAATTCTTCAGTCTCTTTATACCTGACGTTGATCGCACGTTGAGCGCATTTCCATCATATCCACGGAGCATCCGGAGGGCGCTCGTCGATGGTAGAGACCTTTCTGAGCGAATTTAGAAATGAAAACTGGTTTCGAGGCTGGGCAGCTGGGATGAAGATAATTTGGCGCCATGTAAGTCAGGGTTGACCAGACGACTGCGATTCTGCAGATTGAGAACTCCTCGTAAACAAGCACTGATAGGGACTACGAAGCAATAATGCGTCTGAGCCAGGAGGTAGTACGCATGGGCTAGTCGAAATAGATGCGCGTCAGCAGAACTTCCAGGTCAACTGCGGCGATCCCTTGCGCTGTTATACATGAAGTAGGACGGATGGTGGCGAGATTCAGGACCATGCTATAAAGTGATTGCTGAACCGGATCTCGTCTTGATCCTGGCGCGAAGTCTATCGGCAGACCTTCGTCTTCCTCCATGAGGGAGAGCCAAGCTCGAGATCCTTGCAGGATCTGGCCTCGTAGATCTTGTTAAGGAAAAATCAGCACGAGCAATCCGTGAGCTTGAATGGCGGTCCATCTGCGCATAGATTTCGTCATGCCATACATAGCACAGCATTTCGTGATCAAACCAGATAGTAGACGCTCGCTCTGATTGCAATTAACCGATGCCGACGGAGCGACACGCAAGAGAAGCTGACAGGGGAGGACCTGATGATGAAACGAATGACGTGAACCTGTCTTTAGTTTCCCTGCAAGGACAAGTTAGGCAACAAGTGCGTTTCCTGACTCTGACCTGCATTGCTCCCGCGCCACGTGTAGACATGTCAGCAAGAAAAAGCTCCAGACCGCTCTGACCCTTGCATGTGAAAGAGGGATCAGCCACGGTGCGTATGACCAGAATGGGTATCGATCGGCAGCACTGGAATGGTCGAAATGTTTATGATCGGAAAGAAGACTTGGAATCGTATGTAAGCGTTGCCAGTGTCTGGCATTCAACACTCCACGAAGTGCTCAATATGATTACAGACATGTCCATGCTGAACTGGAAAGATGCATTGGGTCGATAGCAGAGGGCATTCCGCGTATTCGGCGTGCCACGCGATCTCTGCAACGAGCCTGCAGGCTGCGCACCGCAGTTTCGTATCGACAAGACGCCCGGGTCTTACAGCTCCTCACTCATGACCTGCACTGGGCAGGAGTCCAAGGAGCGTTCGGACGAGGCGGTAGCGAGTCAGTTAAGCCTGTTATTGGGATATTCAGTCTCAAGGCTGCACTTTTGTTTGGTGCACTGGCATCGTTGTGGTCCTACTCCAAGCGAAAAGAAACGTGAGCGGTGTGACCGCGCGCGCAGACCCTATACACCGAACCTGTCTGCGGTGTGAGGAGAGGCATGCCTCCTCGGGTGCATTCGGAGCACAGCCTCTTAAATGTAATTTGGTCGTCATTGCGGCGCCGTCCCTCGAGCCGAAGCAAGTTCATCATCCCGTACTTGTGGGAAGTCTTAGGGCACACTCCAGATCCTGAGGCATTTTGACGCTTTCCATGGCCGACTCATACTGAGGTACGATGGCTTGTCTCTCGTCCCACAATGGCATAGTCGCACACAGTTGCCCTGGAGAGTCCATCGGGGTTTGAAAATAGTCGGCAATTGCTCATCTAATAGAAGGAGTCCTGGTTTTTTAGCAGTCAGCCTATCCAGGCACGTTTTCAACAATGTCCAGCTTCGACCGGACTTGTGATGAAGTTGGACAAAGCAGAGCTGCTAAGAGGGAACGGCCGATACTCTAACCGTAACAGGCTTGACTAGCCTTACTGGGCCTGGTGGCTTTTCTTAGCCTACTATCACTTCTTCCACTCGCCTCTGACATATATACATGCTCGTATTCGTATTGGCCGACGATTCAAGATCCTTTGATTAAGGAGGGATTGCCGCATGCAACATCCAATGCCAATGGTCCCTGAATGGAGCATGTCTCTCGTTCTATCGGCCGCACCAAGGACCGCTTAACAACATTGGGCTCTTCGCCGTCTGACTCTTGTGCGATCTAACATTATTCAAGGCGCGCCCAGCGATCTGTACATGCCGCCTGCAACATAGCCACACGTGGCACGCGAATGCGAGAAAGAGCCAGGGATATGTATACAAGACCAGCGAGCGGACCGATCCTCTTGCTCTGTGGCGGGATAACGTCACAATGAAATTACGCCACTCTGCATCAATGGTCTTCGAACTCCTGAATCGTCTTCACGATGGCTATTTTGGCTCTGTTCTTAGTACAAGAAACTTATGAGGCACAAGAATCGAGCAGAGATTGCGTTGTTCCGCACGCTCGTGTCACGTGCTCCCTGGAGCCGAAGTGAGGGGCTGGCGGAAAGGCGAGCATCCTTATTATTGTCTCTACAAACCTATACCGCGCTTTGGAACTTCTCTTGACTAGTGGTAGCCTAAGCGGCTACGCGGAACGGCAGAGATCGACGGTAGCTTGGGTGTTGTGACGTTGGTATCTCAGCCCCAAGCTCGAGGTGATAAGAAGAACATCTCCTTGTGTTCGAATCATTCTCGCAAACATTCTCAGCTGCAAAACATCCCAGCATAGGCCGCAAACATGGTTCTCAAACTGATCTCCGCGACGCCTTCGCCCTACGCTCGCATCAACCGCATCGCGATGATCGAAAAGGGAATCCAATTCGAGCTGCAAAGTGAGATACCCTGGCACAAGAGCGAGACTCAGACACCCAAGTACAATCCATTGGAAAAACTCCCCGTCCTCATCTTCGATGATGGCAGAGCTCCGATCTACGACAGCTCCCACATTCAAGATTATATCGTCCAAAAGTACTCCAATCAAGGCCCGAAGCTGGTGACTGGAGACCTTGATCGAGATCTCCAGCTCAAACAAGTACAGGTGCTCTCTCAGGGCGTGATGGATGCCGTGGTACTGAAATTCTTCGAGAAAGCTCGAGCGCAGAAGAGTCACGAATGGGAAGATCGCCAGGCGAGGAAGGTTGATGGAGGCTTCCGAGCGTTCGAGGAGCTTGCAAGGAACCGACAGCCGCAAGGATCCGATTACCTGTTCTTCGACCAGTTCACGATTGCCGACATCGCCGTCGTCTGTGCGGTGGGCTTCGTGAACTTCAACGGCGCGATCGAGAATTGGCAGCAGAAGTACCCCAGCCTTGCCACCTACTTTTCCAAGTTGGATGAGATGGAGAGCTTCAAGAGTACAAGGCCTGTCATGTTCGACATCAAGTCTGATCAGGTCGTCTAAATGGGAAGCCAGAACTCCAACCTTGCGATGATCGAGCCCAGCGTTCACGTACCAATCTTTACTAATTTGTAGTCTGGTATGAACCATGCTTGGGATCTTGATTGCTGTCGATGACGAGCGCCTCCCACATGGATGATCCGAATTCCAGATTTTTTTTTTCGATGCATTGCCAAGATCTGTGCAGACCTCCGATGGAGGAAACCTTCCGCCTCAAGTCTATTCTATGCCTACACACTCGCCTCACAATACCTCGCCGGATTCTTCTCGCCCACAAACTAGCTCAAACACCCTCGAATGTCCAATCCCCAAGCGCTTCCAAAATCCTCGGCAAAACCTGATCTCGCGTAAAATTGCAAATCGCAAATCGGACTCGAACCCTCACTCTCCCACACCGAACCCGTATTCCACGTGCCTCTCTGCCCTTGCAACCCCATGGACTTCTCACAGAAGCCATCTAGAATCTCCTCCGCGCTCGCGTTCATCAGGTACGGGGAGTGGGAATCCGGCGTAGCGCGGGACATGGTCTCGTTGGCGAGGAGAGATTCCAAGCCCGTGTCGCGTTCGTGGAAGATTCGATCAAGAGCGAGGAAACCTCTTCTTGGGAGACCGCCATTATATCCACCTACCAGGTTGCGTGCGGGTCGCGGTTCTCGATGGAAGAAGGGGAGAGGCCCAGTCATCATTTCCCCGGCGCGGGGGAGGAGGGAATTTGTGCTCCGGCTGCAGGCGTATACGGGCTCGGCGTGGGAGAGTGAGGATTCGTGTGCGATTTGATTGCGGGCTCGATGTTGATGATGCCCGTGTAAAGAGGGACGCCGGTATCTGTGACCGCGCCGGCCCTATAGGTGATGCTGATGAATTTGGAGGAGAAGGAGGCTTCGCCAACGTACTTGTCGAGGTAAGGTTCAAAAAGTTCGACGAGAGGTGGAACGGCGAGGACGAGTTGACAGGCTCGTAGATTTTATTGATGGCAAGAAGACTTCTTGCGGAAAAGAACTTCGACACCATTCTCAGCTTGGTTCCAGGTGATGCGTGTGGGTCCGCTAGTGAGGAATATTACATTGTTGCTCTCAGCTTCTCGAAGTTTTGCTAACGCGGTGTCGTAAAGGAGTTGATTCTGGTGATTTCCAACGATCAGGCGGCCATGGCGATAGTGGTCGATGTACTAGGAGCATGTACAGCTTCATCTGCCGCAGAGTATTACCGGACCCCTGATACCATTCCTGGTACGCAATGGCAGAGAAATTATGCGGTTCAAGCCACTGTCCAAACGGCATGAACAATTCTCCAGGTACTGGGTCAGAAAGCATGTGTAACCGATGCCACCCGTCCAGTCAATGTATTGCAACTGCACGTCGAAAACGGCATATTCGACTACGTTGATCATTTCGGTCTGGCTTTGGTATCCGCTACCGTTCGGAACAACGATGGCCTTCGCGAAGTCTGCCCATAAGGCTATGACGTGGTCGGTTTCTAGGTGCTCGGTGGAGTCACGGAAAAGTTGTGTTGGGACTTGGAGGTCTTCGAAGTAGTCGCGAGCGGTGGAGGTGTTGATGCAGTTGATGGCACCACGGCCCATCGTCCCGTTGGTGACGGGATCGATGTACGTGTCTACATGTCCGCCCAATTCAGCTTGTCTCTCGATTACGGCATCTTGTCCAGTAGATCAGAAGCTTCTGCGCCCCCTAGGAACCCTCGAACGGCATTCAAGGAGTGCTCATAAGCCAATCCCTGAAAGCCGGCCAGAGCATTGTTTTGGCTTCCGTAGGTGTCGCCACGAAGCGCCTGGCTGAACAGGTACGTCTTACTTGTCTCGAGGTATAAGAGATGGAGCGCACGTGTTCATCTGCTTATGTCTTTCTCTTCATAGATCTTCGTCCGTTTCTTGCGGCGTTGTTCTCAGGCCCTGCGGAATTGTTCGATAATATCGATACGCCGGTAGGTAAGTGTCCTACTCAGTGTTACGCCGAACGTACTGATGACTTGTCGACTGAGAGCCCATATGTTCACTTCAGCGAGAGCCAAATGTCGATGGCGTTGAACAAGGTAATGCAAAAAACGTGTGAAGGTTTCGATGGCGAGCATTAAAGAGTATTGCTCGGTGTTGTATGAAGGTGCGCTGGGTATCAGGACTCCAGCTATTTGATTGCTATCGGTGACGACCATTGCTTATCAATCACAACCGAAGTGGATCTTGACCTCATGCCTCTACTATTGCGTAAGGCACAGCAAACAAGGGAAGCACAACGCAATTGACTGTAGCCATCAAGTTGCCAAACACTTCTCTACCTCGACATCGTCGGATCAACCAACAACCCATTTTCCGAACTCCCACTGCCCACCATGCCTCCACCTCTGATAGCCCTCGAAGAGCACTTCGACTCCAACATCAGCACAGAAAGAGACGCCCTCCACATGAACATGCCAAAACATCTAACCGACAAACTCTCAGACATCAGTGAAAACCGCATCAGCGACATGGACGCAGGCGGCCTGAAACTCCAAGTCATTTCCCATACGGGCCTTAATTATTCGGCCCTAGAATGCCGACAAGCAAATGATAAGCTCGCCGCAGCATGTCGACAACATCCCAACAGACTAGCTGGATTCGCAATGCTGCCAATGCGAGACCCTCAAGCCGCGGCCGACGAACTGGAACGAACCGTGAAGTTGCATGGATTTCTTGGAGCTCTGGTCAACGACCACTTAGCTGATGGGACCAAATACGACGACGAGAAGTTCTGGAAGGTCTTTGAGAAAGCTGTGGAGCTGGATGTACCGGTTTATATTCATCCGAGTTACCCTGGCACGGATATGGAGAAGCACTATCGGGGGAATTTTGATGAGGCGGCTACGATGTTGATGAGCACGGCGTCTTGGGGCTGGCATTCGGAATGCGGATTACATATCCTGAGACTCTTCGCGGCTGGGCTGTTCGATCGGTTGCCGACGCTGAAGGTTGTCATTGGGCATATGGGGGAGATGTTGCCGTACATGCTGCCTCGCATTATGATGACTACCACGCGGTGGGGAGGTTCCATCAAGCGGGATCTGCGAACGGTGTGGAAAGAGAATATCTGGGTGACGACGAGCGGATTGTTTGCGCTGCCGTCGCTTGAGCTGCTGCTGAAGACATCGCCGAGAGACAAGGTGATGTTCAGTGTGGACTATCCATTCTCGACGCCGGAGATGGGACTGAATTTCGTGAGAGCGATTGAGGCTTCTGGATTGATGGATGCGGAGCAGCTCGAGGCGTTCTGTCATGGTAATGCGGAAAGTCTGCTTAAGGTCTCGCTCAAGTAAGCCAGACGGTAACTTACAAACCATAGATTTAGACAGGATTGGCACGCGTGAGGTACCTTACTCGGCCCCAATCTTGCAACGGTTCGGCAGAGTAGGCTTCTTGTCCTCCTCTTTCGTCCCGGGCGGCCAGCGTATCATGACCTTAACCTGATAGTCGTCAAAATAGACACTATCCACCATTTCAAACCCAAGCTTCTCATATACAGGCGCACCTTCGTCGCTCGCCTCCAGGTATGCGGGTATCCCCAACTCACGACACCTCTCAAGGCCCCATTGCACAATCTTCGTAGCCGCGCCCAGGCGTCTGTACGCCGGGTCTGTGGCCATATACATCAGTAATCCATGCGGCCTACCTCCCATCCACCTGATTCTCCCCTGAACCACAGACTTTGTAGCGCTCTTCGCACGTTCTCGCCTCTTCTCGTCCTGCACCCAGTCCGCACCAACCAGACAATGTGGCTCCAAGTATTCCTCTTCAGTACGCGCCCGATCATAGATGACCCAATTCGCACTCGAGATGATCTTCTCGCTCCCCGTTGCTGGCTCGATGTGCGTGCACTTGATTCCGATGGGGAGCTTGTAGTGTTTGAGGTGCTCTTTCCAAGCGTAGGCTTGACGCTGACCCATTGCATTGCGGTCAGACGGAGTATTGGTTTCGCCGATGAGTTGGGAGTAGGAGAAGTCGCCGAAGGCTGGGGCTACGATTTCCATGAGGCGGGGGATGTCTTCTTCGAGAGCGGGCTCGACGCGTAGGGTGGATGCCATCGCTGCTGCTGAGAGGTAAAGGAGAGTGAGTGATCCTCACGGGGGAAGACCTACCGCGTTATGTAGTGTTCAGCGTCGTTGACCTCGCACATGCTGCCTCTTCCTCAGCTCCGTGCGACAGTCACACATCCTTTGAGACTCGCTGTTACCTCGCACAACGCGAAAGAAGTATCGGCTTCCGAGATGGTGTGAGCTGATATGTACCTTCGGAAGATTTGTAGAGGATGTGATTTGGAAGAGGAAATGCGATATGTTATACTTTATCCTCGGCACGCCTAATCTTCGGCCAAGTCTAATATTAGGACCAGTATGCAATGCGGACTACACTCCCCGCGGTCCTCCTGCTCTTCAGCGCTCTCAAGAACCACTCACATGCTGGCAACGGCTTATCTAGTCTGTATCAGCCAAAGCTACTCGAGGAGTTGAAATGCTTTGAGCCATATCTTGACGTCGACGTCGGCCAAGAGACGCGACTATAAGTAAGGGGTGTATTTCTTGTCACCATTAGAACGAACAGACGGAGACACCACTGTCGAGACTATCAAACTGAACTCAAGACAGGCCGGAGAAAGCAAGCTCATTCAACATGGCTCAATCTATCGGCTCGAGCTCCAGCATCGCCAAAGGACACAATGCCTACGTTCCTGGCTACAAGGCCAACCACATTAAGAACCACACCTGGCGGACGGCAGAGAACAGCGCCGCGTACTTGCTCCCAAAACTTCAAGAGATGGCCAGAGAGAAGCCGAATCTTCAGCTTCTTGACTGCGGTGCAGGCCCAGGAACGATCACAACATCGCTCGCCAAGTACATGCCAGAAGGTATGCGATTGATCGAGGTTTGGGCGTTCCCAAGCGAATTCAGAATCCACCGGGCTTCGAAGCACAGTAGCGACGTTAGTATCACCGATCATTGCAGCTGACCCGCAGCAGGACAAGTCACAGCCACCGACCTGTCTGAGGAAGTAATTCACCGCGCAGCGGAATGCGCCAAGTCCCAAGGCGTGACCAACATGAAATGTCACGCCGCCAACGTCTACAACCTCCCCTTCGAAGACGACAGCTTCGACATCGTGCATACCCAACAAATGCTCTGCCATCTGGATTCTCCCCTCGAAGCAATCCAATCCATGCTGCGCGTCTGCCGACCAGGCGGAATCCTCGCCATCCGAGAATGCGACATGAGAATGTGGGCTCTCTACCCCGAAGTTCCCGTGCTTCAAGAATTCCACAAACTCGTCATGGCCACCATGAAAGCCAATGGTGGCTCAAACGATATGGGCGTGCGGCTGCTCTCGCTAGCCATGAAAGCTGGTCTTCCGCGCGAGAGGATCCAGGCGAGTATGGGAACGTGGTGCTACTCGTTGAGAGAGGAGAGGGAAGTCTGGGGCGGAGCCATGCGTGATCGGATCCGTGAAGGACCGATGCGGCAGAAGTGCTTAGATCAGAATCTGGGGTGGAATGCAGAGGAGATGGATCGGATGGCGGATGCTTGGGAGGAATGGATTGAGACGGAGGATGCGTGTTTTGGGTGTATGCATGGAGAGGTTATCATCACGAAATGATTCTAGGCGCGTTGGGGAAATACTAATAAATTCGTCTGGAGCGACGGATGTGTCTTCCTGAAGGCCGACTTCGATCTCACATGCACGTCGACATAAAGGTCACTCTCAATTTCTCTTTCTCCTATCTCTCTTTCGAGAGCATAATGAGCTATGATAAGACTTCGTTACCTCTAGCCGGAGGCAATGCCGTTCAATTCTCAATATCCTAACGGCCGATACGGAACTGGTGCTTCCGTCTCATGATGGTGCACGCGCTTTCGGCAAGGTTCTGCAGCTTTCTATCCGGAATATCGTAGTTCTCACGAGCGTAAGCAAGTCGCCCTCCGAACGTCCAGCCTTCTCAATGCGCCCTAGAAGATCCGTAGTCACTTCGTCCGTCCTGCATATGATGAAGAAGCTGCAACTGCTTCGCTTTCCTTCACACTCTTCCCCAATTGCCAAGCCAACACACATTCCATATGCATTCTCCAGATTGGTAAGTAGCGGTACCCTCTGTGAGTAGAGAGTAAGCGTTCTAGGCCCCCTTTGCGAGCGAACGAGTGAGGAAACGTGATTACAAGCATCCACCCCATCCAGCGAACTAGCATGATCCCTCGTGAAGTTCAACGGCTTGCAACAGCCTTCACGCCGTACTGTGGCCGCTCAAGTTTCACGCGCCAGTTCAACACACGTATAAAACTGCATCAGAAGAACTCTCTGGAGTGACGGCCTCCATCACAAAAGATTCACAGCCTTTGTGAAATCTTAAAAGGTGGCTTCATTGCTGTCTGTTGGGTCAGGAGACCAAACCTTGGGAGACCCTCGTCGTCTTGGAGAACCTTAATGTTCGCCCCTCTCATCGATTCTGCTCCGGCAACAGCGGATGACCATGGGTTGTCAATCCACATAGACTCAAAGTTTTCCCCATCATATTCCGGGCAACTAGGGAGGTTGTCTGTCAACGTCCGCCCGGAGAGATGTTCGTCTTGTGAGAATCATCCTCAATAATAACAACACAGCATGAACGATCGCCTTTGCCGAAATCTGGATCGAATTTTCATCGAGTAGACGTCTAGAGAGAGTTTCAGGCGACACAATGGCGTTGTTCCTGGCGCTGGCGGTGTGGTCGGTGGTGCTGCCGCGACTTTCCGGCGCGCAGCAGTGCTATTATCCTGATGGCACGGCGGCGCTTGATGTGCCGTGTAACAGTTCGGCGCCTGTGTCGTCTTGCTGCACGAGCTACGGATTCTGTTTGTGAGTTTCCAAGAGTGATTGGGTGTTGTACCTCGCCCGTGAGCTGAGAAAGACCACAGGGCAAATGGGCTGTGCCTCGATAACGGCATCGTGAGTCGTGGCAGCTGCACAGATAAGACATGGAATGCCAATGAGTGCGCGCAATATTGCAAGAATGGTCAGTATAGCTAATGCAGAGCGTAATCGCTGCAGTGCTGATGCCTCGAACAGATAATCCAAGCGGGGGTTTCAATCTGATGGCTTGTTCGAATAAGACCTGGACATGTGGCTTCTTCCCAGATAACTGTGGCGTGCAAACTTCAACATTCTCCATCACAGGCGCCGATGTCCTGGTTCTGCGCTCCTCTCAGCTGACATCCATGATGGAAGCAGCCGGGATCGACAAGAGCGTCATCGCGAACACCACTAACACCACCTTGCCCAAAGACGATGACGGTGGAGGATACACCACGGGAGACATGGCAGGCGTGGGCGCGGGCATTGGCGTTCCATTACTAGTTGCCATTGCACTGCTGTCATACCTGCTCATGAGGGAGAAGAGGAGGGTAGCGGCCCTAAACAACGACAACCTCACCAGCCTGCGAGCTTCTAAGCCGATGGAGATGAACGGCCGGTCGACCTGGGCGGAGCTGCAGTCCGCCCAGAAGAGAGACAGCGGGCCAGGACTGGCGGAGCTGTCGCCAGAGACGGTACAAGAGATGGAGACGCCGGCGACCGCCCGCCCACCGCCTGATTACAAGTAGCCGGAACAGATCTAGGTGGAGACCTAGAATGCGAGTTGGGAAAATTTGGTGAATTCGTGAGCCTCTATTGCTGCGCTGGCCTCGGTACGGCGAGACAGTTCTGTCAACTGGGCGTTCAGTCGGTACTGTGCACCCGACGATTTCCATTTCTGAGTGAAAACTTCTTGTGCATTTCTCCTGGTTCGGATTGGCGGTTCTTAGCGTTGCCGGAAAACGTTCGCCCATCCTCTGGGTGTTCGCGAGGCTATGAAAGGCTCTGCAATGCGGCATTGTGTAATGTGATATGGCTTTAGGATATGTCAGCGAAAAGTTACGGTCAATAGGAAGCCGTGTATGATCACCTTGCAGCTCAAAGCAAAGCAGCCAGCTTCTCAGGTTGATTGCCTCAAGTATCGAATTGCCACTTCTGTAGACCACCGCGGTGCGTGTCGGCCTTAGGTGGTGCTCTCGACGCCATCTTGACTTCGTGCGTCCTCGCGTATTCCTGAGCAAGGGACGCGCAGACTTTCTTATGCTTCTTCGTGTCGGCTTTCTTGCAGTCCCGAGAGCAGTACAAGACCGATTTGCACATGATGCATGGCTTGAGACCTGGATTGGCTTCTGGATCGGGCGATTCTTCTTGTTTGTTGCAGTGGGCGCAGGATTTTCCCTGTGGCGTTGAGGCTTCTAAAAGGAATGCTGTGAGCGATGAATGGCATTTGGTGGCTAAACCTTGCAAACTCACCTTCTTGACTGTCGTTTTGGGCTGCTGATGCTGATGATTCGGCCATGTTGAGTTTTGTTAGGTTCATTCCACTCGATGGCAGTGGCGTTCGGAAAGATTCTACTATAGTGACTGCTGCCTTAGGCACACACGCCAAGCCCCCATAATGTGAACGACCTCACCTTTCTCCCCCCTCTTCGTCTGACTCTCAATGTCACAAGTCAGCCGAGCATGTCGCCTCTATTCTGAGCGTGTATTAGTGGGATATATCCTAATTCTCCTCCAATTGGAGCCAACACCAACCCAGCCGTCTGCCCTGCCGAGAGGACCATAGCGGTACGGAACAAAGCCAAAGAACGTAGTCAAATGGACGATTGCACACACTGAGAAGTACGACGGATCACTGCCTAGTGAGGTAAGATGAGAGACAGTCGCACGTCTGAGGCGCATACGACCAGGAACCTGCTCGCTACCAGATTGGATACCGTAGATCCGGACGCTCATTCTGGGTCACCTGGCCTGATGGAAACCCGTACGACCTTTCCGCAGAATATGCGGATAGCCTATATTGAGTAGTTTCCATACCCGTCATGCAGCGCTTCCTCACCCGAAGTGTTAGACGGACTTGACTTGGAGAGTTATCTCTGACACGATGAAGATGCCACAACAACGGCTTTCCTGAACTTTGACGAAGAGATTGAGCTAGAAGAAAACAGAGCGTACGTCCCTCCCACCGATGGCTCTCCAATCGCACAACTACATCTTTTCCCATTCGACTATCACTTCCAAATTGATCTACGTGGAAACCACCAACAGGCTTCTTTGGCGTCCTTTGGGTCTTGCGCTACGCCTGACATTCGATCAGAAGATCGTTCGCTTATTGCTAGCTGTGATTTCGAAAGCTAGGTTTCCAGTGGAATCGCAGAGCCAGTCGACTTCTGCGTGTTCGTTCTCCAGGCATAATATTACCCCGCAGCCATAAGAGGATACTTCATCGGATAGGTTTCGCTCTCGCAGGTTGACACTGGATCTAGCACCTTGGTTCGATCGAAGCCAAAGAAGAACGGTGCAGAGTTGCTTTCCCGCCCGCTGTCATTAGTCACCCGATGCAACGTGGATACGAGGAAGTCGTTCGTCTGTCTCGTATAGCAGTCCGCGATGCTGAGCATGAATGAGCCTGAAACAGGAGCAGCATTGATACACTTGCCTTGCTGAGGCAAGACTTCAAGCTCATCACAGTCGTCTTGAGTGATGACATTGAAGCCTTCAGCGGCTATCTCGTTTCAATGGCTGTGAGAGTCTTTTTGAGCTTTGTATGGATTAGCACCAACACAGGGTAGGGCGAGCAGTGTTTGAAGGCCTTTCTCGCTCCCTCTGGCCGTCTCAGGGGAATCTTGATTGCCCTTTGGCTAGTGAAACCATGGATACTGGCGACTCGCTGGCTTTTGTGGTATTTATCCTCTCGTATCTGCCTTCGTCGTCGGAATGGTGGTAGCCTTCAACGCAGCAGCGGCAAGAATCGGTCTCGCCGCCATACTCCCTCGATACCTCACGCTCCGCCGAGGAGGCTACCGGACCATCCTTTTCGCCTTCGTGATGCAGCCATGGCAACTCTTGAATGGCGTCACCAACTTCCTACCAATTGTAAACCCCTTCAATGTCTTTCTCGGAGCTTTCCTGGTAACCATGATCGTGGACTACTAAATTTTCCGTAAGCGGATCGGGAAGCTCTCGGATGTATATACCGAGTCTTCGAGAAGTTTGTGTTGGTTTAGCCATGTATTCAACTGCAGAGCGGCAATCGCGTGGCCATTTGGATTCTGGTTGCTGGTTCCTGGACGTGTCCAAAGAGAAATGGCTGAGGACGAGCATGACGTTGGGTGGAGTGATCTTTACATTATTTCGTGGTTTCTGCCCTCAGCGATCCATGACACTTCGCGCAGCCGAGCATCCAAGCACCACGGCCTACGAACAGCATCAGCGCCATACTCGTAGCCAAGACCGCCTTCGATGAAGAAGCAAGCACAACTGTCGGGGCCAGAAGGTATTATGGAAATGAATCAACCATGTCCAGAAATCGTTTAGCCAGGAACATGCACCTGGGATCCCCTCCAAGAAATTCTCTTCGGCACCCTGAGTATATGAAGCTGAATGAGCTCCTAGATACTGGGCGGATGTGACGACTTAGCCTCAATGCGAGGATGCACCGTGGAAGATGAATTGTCGAAAGCGCGACTGGTATGCATGGAAGAGCTTCTCGTGAGCAGGTATTTCTGAAGGAGGAGCAGTAGACCAGGCAAAGGAAGGCTATGATCTGATGTCGGAATGTGGTGCAGAATTTGCGAGAGTCTGGGCGAGATAGGCCAAGTCATAGCTGTGGAGGTTGCTGTTCATGAATAGGCTGTATGGGCGTGTAATGAAGACCGGTCAATGTCTAAGGACGTGTGCTTGAGCGTACTGCTTGCACCTCCTCGTACATAGCGTATGCCTGCAAGTCATCTATGGTGTCTCATGGACCGTCAGTCGTTATTCGATCCCATAGAAGATGTCGTTGCCTGTTTCTGTATCCTGTGCACGGTGCTGTAGTGAACTTCACATGGGAAAATGAAGGCCCGTGCGCCTTCCTAATCTGCCTCCAATTTGGCCTGTAGGAGACCAACGCGCTGCCCAAGTTTCCACAAACACCGCACCACATCCCCACGCGGTCGAGCACCACCATGGCATCGACCACCGCCATCTTGGCCTCCGCGGCCACCACCGATTCGGGATGCCGCATCTTCTCCCTCCCCACAGAGCTCCAGGTGGAGATTTTCGACTTCGCCTACCCAGGCGCCGAGACGCGGGTCCTCAGCAAGGAGGCCTGGCTCACCAGAGAGAGCCAAATGCGCAACCAGCACGGCTCTCCTCCCGCCCGCCCATACCCCGGCCACAAGGTGAACGAACTCTTCGTCTCCAAGCTCTTCTTCGCGGCCGCCGCCAAAGCCTGGATCAAGAACCAGATGTTCGTCGCTCCATATTTCGGCATGGAAGTGCAGATCACCGGATTCTGGGAGCCGTTGTTGGACAGTGAGGGCCTGCTATCGAAGTACACGGAGAAGATCAAGATGATGGATGCGGTGATCCTGCGAGGCTTCACGAACCAGCTACCACGCCTGATGCACGTACAGGTCATGCCGGTCCTATCAAACTTCCAGTCGAGACTCTATAGCGACGGCGATATCGTGGACTCGGCGACGTTCCAGAAAATCATCCTCCTGCGCGGAATCCTGGATCTTGAGATGATCCCACGGACAGAGATCAAAGGCGATCAGAAAGCCATGATGGAAGCGAACCTGACGCGGTTGCGTGAACTTGCTCTGCCGCTTGTGACGCTCCCACGACATGACAGCCCCTTCCCGTTCGATGTCTCGGACCTCTTAGAGGCATCCTGGGTTTTGCCACCAGGAACCTCCTTTCAACAGGCACGCCGCGGCAAGATGTTCGAAATCGGCACACTCTTCAAGAAGCTAGGAACGTGGATTAGGAGAGTTTTGAATGGATGAGAGGAAGAGCGCGAGGCGAAGAAGACACAACGGCAGGAAACGAAGACACAACGGCAGGAAACGAAGACACAACGACGGGAAACGAAGAGACAGCGACAGGAAACGAAGAGACAGCTACAGGGGAAGAAGAGATAGCAACGGGCGAAAAAGCGACACCGGCAACGACAAGGAGAAGATCGGATGTGGTCTCGAATGACTCGTAGAGTCTCATTCGCCAAGATAATACAGACAGGATGACTGCTACTAGATGTCCTTTATCAGCGACAGAACAGCGAAATGGGAATGCCCAAAAGGCGGCGGGATTTGACTACTTATGGAAATGGAACGATTCATCGAAGCAGACTAGCGTTCATCTCGATTTTCACAATTTTCCCGTCTGGTCTCCGAGTCTCGAGCGACGATCTCTGTTTTCTTGCTGCCTTGGGTGAGGCCGCGTGTTCGTGATGCGGAGAGGTCATGATATCGTAGGCCGACCAGAGCATAGTAAAGTCCAGTGAGTCGAATAACCGCGTGCAGATGAGCCAATCTCTCGAAGCGTTGTGCATCGTTCTTTTGCCGTGTCACGCGAGCTTTCACATGCGATTGATGCAGGTGAAGTAAGTGAATGTGGACCGGCCAGTAAGGTAGATGACGTGTTAGCGTGGCTGGGGCCCGGTCGCGCGCGTTCTCGTCTCTCGACCAAAGCTTGGCGGGTGCCCCAAAGGATTCAGGAAGCTGTCCTGCTCCAAGAAACATCGCCTTCCTGCTTTCACGACGTCGCTGATGGTCTGGATGTAATCGGCACATCAGATTCACGCGCCGACATGTTCTCCGGCTCCAATTCCTTCCTCGGCGGCGGCAACACTGCCCGCGCAGGCCCGTCGCCGTATGGACAACAGCAGCAGCAGTTCGGCCAACAACCCCAGCAGCCTCAGTATGGCCAGCAACAGCAGACTGGATTCGGCCAACCACCGCTCCAGCAGCAGTATACCGGCTTTCCTCAAGGCGGAATGCCACCGCAGGCGACGGGATACCCTCAGCAACCGTCGCAACCACAATTCCAGCAGCAGCCGCAGTACTCCGGCTTCCAACAGCCTCAGCCGACCGGTCTCCCACCCCAACCGACAGGCTTTCAGCAGCCTCTGCCTCAACCGCCACAACCGCAGTTCCAAGTTCAGCAACCGACGGGCTTTCAACCGCAGCAGCAGAATGTGCAGCAGCAAGCGCCTCCTCCGCCGGTCCAGCGCCCGCAGCCAACCGGCATGACCAGCAACGATATGGCCAACTCCTTCCGAAGCGCCGCTCCTCAACCTCAGCAATCCGCACCAGCAGCCAAGTCTGGCAGCAGAATCCCCAACATGCGACTGAGCTTCATCACGGCGCAAGACCAGGCCAAATTTGAGCAGCTGTTCAAGAGCGCGACAGGAGGCGAGCAGGCGTTGAGCGGGGAGAAGGCAAAAGATTTGCTACTGAGAAGTAAACTGGATGGAAATAGCTTGGCTCAAATATGGACGCTCTCAGATACCACAAAGTCGGGGCAATTGCTGTTCCCAGAGTTTGCATTGGCCATGTACCTATGCAATTTGAAGCTCACTGGTAAGGACATGCCCGCTTCTTTGCCAGAGAAGATTCGCAACGAGGTCTCTAGTATGGTGGACATCATTTCGTTTGGTGTCGAGGACAACCCTCCGGCGCCAACCCCCAGCAGCAATGCGCCGAACTTCAATGAGCCACCTAGGATTCAACAGCCTCAGGCGCAGAACCCGAACAATCAGCAACTCTTGAGTGCGCTCACTGCTCAGCCTACCGGCTTTCAAGTGCCACAAGCGACCGGGTTCCAGCAGCCTCAGCAGACTGGCTTTCAACAACCTCAACAGACAGGTCTCCAGCCACAGCCTACAGGCTTCGCAGGCGGTATGCCACAAGCCCAAGGCTATACAGGACCACGTCCGCCAATGCCTCCGATGCCGACTGGGTTTGGGCAGAACCAATCTCAACAGTACGGCCTTTCACCGCAGCAGACCGGCTTTGGAGGACTCGCGGCAGCTCCGTTGAATGCACAGCCAACCGGAAGACCGGGCCAGTGGGGGCTGGTGAACGCACCAGCAAGCGGCTTGCCCAATCTGCAGGCTCTGCAGCAACAAATGATGCCGCAACCAGGCAGAGAGTCCGGATTCAGTGCGCAGGGTCTGCAAGGCAATGCAACTGTGCCATGGGCTGTGACCAAGGATGAGAAGAAAATCTACGATGACATGTTCAAGGCATGGGACGGGTTTGGAAAAGGATACATCTCAGGCAATCAAGCAATTGAGATCTTCAGTCAATCCGGTCTCGACAAGTCGGACCTTGAAAGGATATGGACCCTCAGTGATCCGCACAACAAAGGACGTCTCAATCTGGACGAATTTGCTGTTTCCATGCATTTGATCTATCGACGACTGAACGGATACCCAGTTCCGAACCAGCTTCCTCCCGAGCTCATTCCTCCCTCAACGCGAAATCTCGATTCCAGTATTGGCACGATGAAGAACCTGCTCAGTCAAGACGCGCAGACGAGGAGATCGACAGGTGCTTTCTTGCAACCGCAGAGAACCGGTGTGAGCTACCTCAAGTCTCGATCGTTGCATGCCAATGGCTCGCCTGATGCGGGACGAAAGGATGCAACCGTATTCAAGAACAATGATGACGATGTTGGCTACCGATCTTCTGCTAGGCGCAGGATGGGCGAGCGCGGTAGAGACGCGTCTCCGGCACTCAGTGACAGCAGCAGTATGACGGCTGACGACATGAGTATCGACCAGCTTAAGAAGACCATCCGCGAGAAGCAAGTTCTGCTAGACGCGATGGACTTTGAAGACGAGGGCAAGGCCGATGAAGAGGATGCATTGGACCGAAAGGACAGGAAGGAGGCTGAGGAGCTGTTCCGGCGCATCCGAAGAATCCAAGAAGACATTGATAGCCATCCTAACAGCGCCTTTAAGACTGGTGACTCGGACGCGGAGCGACGAACGCTTCAGAGGCAGTTGCGTGGCTTGCAAGATCAGTTGCCCGAGCTTGCGAGTCATGTGCGAAAATGCGAGCGTGCAATCGCGGATGCTCAGCTGGAGGTTTTCAGACTGAAAGACGCAAAAGCGCATCCCAGCTCCGCGCCTCCCATTGTGGGCACTGGACCTGGCGGTGAGGTCACCGAGGCTGATCGACGAAGAGCCAAGGCCAAGGCGATGATGCAACAGCGTTCTGCTCAACTCTCCGGGAAGAAGATTGACACTGGCGACGACGGTACGGCAGCAGCCCAGAGACTGGAAGAGGAGAGCAAGCGAGTCACGCGAGAACGCGAGGACAATGAAACGATGGTTCGCGGTGTCGAAGAGAGCGTGACCGAGTACAGCAAAGGTCTCGAATCTAGTCTCAAGGAAGGCGCCGAGTCAGCATCTGATGAGCATGAGCGGCGACGATGGGTGGACGGGCTTGGTGTGGAGGACGAGGTCAAGGACTTCATCTTCGACCTGCAGCGGAGCTCTCGTGCTGCCCGTGTTCGCCACGAGGACAAGGCACCAGTTCGTCCTAAGGCTGCCGAGCCTGCCGAGGATACCAACCGAACGAGCACACCGACGTCGCGTACTGACAGTCCAGCTTTGAGCAGAGCACCTGCTTCGACACCCCAGACCTCCGGCTCTTCGTATTCCAGCTACAGGACCGCTGAAGAGCGCGCGGCCTTCATCAAGCAGCAAGCCGAACAGCGCATGGCAGAGCGTCTTGCGGCCCTTGGTCTTAAGGCTCCCAGCAGGGGAGAGACTGCAGCGCAACGAGCAGAGCGCGAGCGCAAGGAACGCGAGGATAGACTCAAACAGGCAGAGGCAGAGGACGCTCGCCGTGAACAAGAAAGACAGGCCAGGCTGCAAGGCGAGTCAGTTGCACCACCTGCTCCGGCTGCTCCTGCTGGCAAACCGAAACCACCTCCGCCTGCGCCGCGGAAGAATCGCAGCGAGAGCCTGCAGAGTCAAGACGAGGCCAAGCGCGCCGAACACGACATCAAGGAACAGGCGCTCAAGGAACAGGAAGCTGCGCTTGCGAAGGAGACGAGTGCGATGGAGTATGTATCTCTATCGTTTGGATGCTGTGAAACGGATACTGACAGATCGACAGGGATGAGGAGGCTCGTCAGGAACGCGAGCTCCAACAACAACGCGAAGACCAGGAAGCCTCACTACGCGCTCTTGAGGAGCAAGTTAAGGCTGGTAAGGTCAAGAAGGCCGAGGAAAAGAAGAAGAGGGAAGCAGCCAAGAAAGAGGCTCAAGAGAAGGAGTCTCGATTAGCTGCGCAGCGAGCAGAAATCGAGGCTGCGAAAGAACGCGAGCGACAGCTTCGCCTGCAACTCGAGAACATGGACGACGACGATTCAAGTGACGAGGATGAAGGACCTAGGCAAATCACGCCGACCGAGAGCACGCCCGCCGAGAGCATGGAATTGCCTCAATCGCGAGACGCTCCAGTTGCACCGCCGCCTGCTCCTCCAATTCCGACTGTCATATCGCCGCCACCTCCTCCACCGATGCCCGAGAGCGTAACAAGCCCATCAGCAAACGTCTCCAGCCCGCCTGCGGAGTCGAAGAATCCATTCTTCCGCAGCATGAGTCAAGCACCGTCCGCAGCAGGAACGCCAGGCGCCATCTCGCCTGAAGCCGAGAAGAAGATTGACAGGAATCCCTTCCACAACCTGACGCAGCAAGAGAAGCAGACACTGCCTGATCCAACGCAACCTCCCGCACGCATCCGCAGCCCGTCGAAGCCTGCTGACGAAGATGATTGGTCTGTCGTTGAATCTTCGGATGATGAGGATGACGAGGACAAGCCAACTGGTGGCAGTGCGAAGCAACTCGCATCGATTCTGTTTGGCACCATGGGTCCTCCTCGACCACTATCTGCCATGGACAGTCCAGCTGCAGCTTCAGGACCCAACTCTCCTGCTCCAGGAAAAGACCGCATGGCCTCGCCACCTCCCGCTCCGCCTATGCCCTCGGGAGTAGCTCCTCCGCCCCCACCACCTCCCATGCCGGGTAACTCTGCTCCGCCTGCGCCCCCACCGCCGCCGCCTGCGCCTAGTGGAGGTGATCTGCCTGCCGGGCCGCCTGTGGGAGGAATGCCAGATCGCAGTGGACTGCTGGAACAGATCCAGCTGGGTAAGGGATTGAAGAAGGTACAGACTAAAGATCGCAGTCAGGCTGGCGTTGCTGGGCGTGTGCTTTAAGACCAATTGCTTAGGATGAGGAGAGGGAGGCGTGTATAATAAGAAAATGGGTGTGACTGTCAATAGACTGTAGTGTGCTCATACTTGTAGCATATCGCATGCTATTTCGTTCCTCTTGCGCGTAGTCTATTTAGATCTGTCCAAACCCCGTCCACGTCCATCTCGTCCATCTCCTCGCTGTGGCTTAGCCCGGAGCGCGCCCTATAGCTTTCCTGGGTATGGTACTCACTATAGGGGTCCAGCGCCCCGACCTCCTCCTCTCCGCCGCTCTGGTCTCGCGCCGATGCACCGGCGGGCGCTGCTGGCATGTTGAAGGCCGGGATGGCCGGAGCAGCGCGTAGAGGTGAAGCCGTCGCACGGCTTGATGGCGACGGGCGCGTTGATGGTGGTGGTAGTAGGAGGAGGAGGAGGAGGCTGCAGAACCTCCTCGCCCTCGCCCTCGCCCTCTCCTTCAGGCTCCCCGGGCCACTCCCGACTCGTGCTCCCCGTCTTGCTGGTTCCAGTACCACACC